AAACTCAATTATTAAGTTTTTGAATCTATTAATTTACAATATTGAGAATTAAATACAAAATTTATTTTTAGTATATAGTGTATATATAAATCTAATAAAAATTTAATCTTACCTTAGTCTTTATAGTAATTAATATAAAGTTTAAAATTAGATTAGAGTAAAAATAGATTTTATAATTGAAACACAATACTACAAATTAATAGATTTAAAAACTTGATAATCAAGTTTTTGTTTGATTTTGCCAAGCACTATCTCTAGTACTAAATAAAAGAACTAAAATAAAAAATATATAAATATAAAAAAAAAGATACTAAATTTAAAAACATATTAAAAATATAAATAATAAGATATATCAAGCTAGTAGTAGTAATATAAATAGATATCTAAAAAATATACTAATATACTAACTTTAAAATATCAACTAATTTAGATAAAATAAAAAATAGTACTAGTATTATAATTTTTGTTAAAAATAACTTTAATTATATAATATAGCTTTAATTAACCAATATATAAAAATCTTTTTAAAAGAATAGTAATAGCATACTGTTATTTAAAAAGTATTTAAATAAAATAAATAAAATACTAACAGAAATATCCAAAATTTAAGTAGTAATACTACAGTATTACAGTATACTATATTATACATATTGGTAATTTTGTAGAATTAATATAAATTAAGATTTATATATTTTAACAATGCAATGTAAAACTAACCCCAAAATTTCAGCTATTATGCATTCTGCAATTGTTAAATCCAGGGACCCTAATTTAAATCAATCCTGCAAATCTGCTAATATAAAAGAAAAAATCGAGTATTTATTAAAGTAAAACAGTATATAAAAACAAGATTATCTTAATAGAGAATTTGGCATCTTCTTTAATACTAAACAGAAAGTAATTTAAGTAAAAAATTATGAATATATTATCTGTTTGAAAATTATTAAGATTAGTATAAGAAATATGAAAATTTAAAAATTATATAAAATAAAGTACTGTATAGAGCAGATAGCAATATAATAGCCTCAAAGTAAAAAGTAAAGATAAATTACGTCAATGTGACCATCTCTATAATTAGCCCTAATCAGTCCTATTCGGTCTAGTCTTTTTGGACCAGGGCCCTAATCAGGTGTCGAATTTATTATATCATTATTCATCACAACAAGTCAAGGATTTACTTAATGAGATATCTCAAATTTCATACAAGTATAGATCTCAAAATTAAAAAAGCAAAACAGGTAATGTTCAGATAAAAGGACGAATTGTTGGATAGTTTGTTCGCTAAATAAAGAAAATAATTTGCTAATACTGTAATATGTTTATCGTTATATTATTGGGGGGTTTTTCGGTATTTCCCAACAGATTTTTTTTTAGTAGTACAATTACATACAATGAATGTATCACGATGTATTGATTGGTCAACTAACGATAAATTTTTTTAAAAATTATTTATCATGTTAAATAATGGCAAACAAAACTTTTTACAATATTTCATTATTATCGTGATTGCTCAAATATCCTTTCTTTTAAGATTTATAATATAAAAGTAAACTTGTAATTTTCTGGAGTTGTTAGGAGCGATGTTCAAATATCGACTTGTTACATTTGGTGCAATTTTCATTCTTTTTATCCTAATCATTTTACCTATTGCACAAGCGTGGGATAATGGTATGTATTTCATGCATATTTACAAAGTATTCCAATAAGAAAAAATATTCCTAAAACTCGTAAATAATCTTTTATTTATAATAGTGGATCATGAGATTTTTGATCTAGTGGATCAGATTACAGGTCTCGAAGGAGAAGATACAACATTTTATTCACTACTTGGAGTAGAACCAACAGCTACCGAAAAAGAAATAGGCAGAGCATACAGAAAATTATCACTAATTCATCAGTATGTTAATTGTTAGAGTTTCTTGCTTTTTTTTTTTTGTCGTAATTGATTAACTTTGTTAATGAATATTAAACTTTTTTTCTTTAACTAGTCCAGATAAAAATCCTGACGAGCGCAGCCAACTATTGTTTACCTTATTAGGATCAATTACAACAATACTTCGCAATTCAGAAACTCGAGACCGTTATAATTTTTTTCTAAAAAATGGTGTTCCAAAGTGGCGTGGAACAGGATACTATTATAATCGATATCGACCCGGTCTCACTGGAGTTATCGTTGGTCTCGTCATTTTGAGTTCAATCCTGCATTATATTGTAATGTGGGTGAATTTTTATCAAGAAAAAAAACGAATTAGATACTTTATACAAGAGGCCAGGGAAATTGCTTGGGGAAAACGAATGAAAAAGCAAAATACTAGGAAGAGAGTTTATGTAAATGAAAAACCATTCATTGTTGATAGTGATAATGTTATGTTCCTCACAGATGAGGGAGATGAATTTGTATTAAGCGAAGATGAAGTATCCAAACCTAGTTTTGGTAGATTATACCCAGTTTTAATTTGTCAATCTGTTTTAGATAAATTAATGACTACAATGAGTCCTAAGAAAGAACGAGTTACTGAAGAATCTGGTGATGATCAGGAGCCATTTTCCAGTGATGATGAACGTAGTGAGACTGGTGACAACCCAAGGAGTCAAACACGTAGACGTAAATTAGGCAGAAAAACAAAGTCAAAATATTAAAATATATACATACTCATGAGAGTAATTGTCGACAAAATAGATTATATTATTAGATATTTGAGTTAGTAATACTCGTAATTATTTTTAGAATCAAAGGTTATTATAATTTGTAAATTATTTTAAAATCAAAAATATTTTTAAAAAAGAATTGTTATATCGATATGTCGATCTATTCTTGTTATAATAGCAATTGTCATGTTATTGGCTGATGATGTATACAAATTAAAAAATTATTTGTTATTATTATAGATATAATAAAAGAAATGGGTTCAATTTTAAGATACTTTTGTCGTTATAATTCAAGTTTTTCATGCATTAACTTGTTATCGCCATTAAGACCATTAAGAAAGTTTTCCCTAATTTGCCGATGTTTATCGAATCATCATCAAACCATAAAAAGTTCACCCGAATCTTTAAAGTTTTTTGATCTTTCCAATTTACCATTCAATACCGCGGAATGTACACCATTTTCACACGAAGATTTCATTCTTTTACCTAATCATTTCACTCCTTTTGAACAAGAATTTCTTCTTGATCAATCTTTAAAAAAATTGAAAAGAGTTTTTGGTAAACAAATAGTCTACCAAGATAGTCATTTCGATGATGTTATTCAGGGTTATAGAGAATGCCAAGCCTCTCATTGGGGTGATCAAAACGACAAAGTAATAGAAATTTTTAATAAAAAGGTTTATGATTTTTTTCCGAGAACCGTTGAATGGTTACCAGTTCATGTCTTGGATTTATCCGAAACCGGTGGTATTAAACCTCATGTTGATAACGTTGATGTACTGTATTTATATTATTATCACTTTGTAGCATCTGAATTCTTGTGTCTTTGACTTATTATGATTTAAAATTTCAGTATTCTGGAAGCATCGTTGCTGGAATTTGTCTTATGTCTCCAACAGTTATGATCTTTCGCCATAAAGATGACCAAAGTTGTAATTTTTCTGTACTATTGGAACCAGGATGTCTTTATATTCAACGGTAATATACTTTAGTATAAATTTTTCGTTGAATTTGATAATTATAATATCATTACTATGTTGAACACAAAGGGATAAGGTTCGCTTTAACTTTACTCACGAGATTCCTCAAGATCTTGCTCAACATGTATTTAAAGGCCAGATTATTCCAAAGGGAAGAAGAATCTCTTTAATGTTCAGGGTAAGCTTTATTTAAAAGACATGATTTTGATTCATTTATCCGATCCTCCAAGCGATTCATATTTATTGCAGGATGTGAAAAAAACGAGCTAACGTTTATCAAACCCCGTACGTAAACCACTTTTATTATTAAAATCTCACTCGCATTATTACATTATATATATAAATGATAAATATCCATGAATTTATTTGAGAAGACATACTTTAAAAAGAACTACTTTGACATCAAAAATAAATACAGTTTGACTTTCTCTATGGACATACATGCTCTCTAAATGAATGCATTGATGTAGTTATAGTTGCTATCTAAAAACTTTTACTATAATAAAAAAAAATTAAATGAGTTTTTGGAATTATCAGACAGTATAATTATAATTAATTATAGGTAATTCATTATATATAAACCAAATTTGGTTTGTCAAAAAAACATATGAACTTGGCCGAATTGGCCGGTAAATTGCCAACACTGGACTCTACAATAAACATACGCTTTAAATATACATTAATGTCTAGTTAGTTACCTAGTTAGTTATATGGCCTGAAAGGAATGTGAACTATGCTATTTACTCAAATAAAATTGATAAAATAAAAATGATAAATTAAAAATTGTCTCAATATACAGCATTGTGTAATCTAGTTGTCAAGATTTATGATGTTTTCTTTACACTGCTGTATAATCTTTGTTTAAAAGTTTCAAAAAATATTAAATTAATATTTTCAAAACTATATAAAGCTTTCATATTTATATTTATATATATGAAAAAAAAAATACCTGTTCACAAATATCATTAATTTTGGCAAAATTTGGATCTTGAGAATCATTATTTTTTGAAATTATTATTTGAGTGTATTCAAAAAACAATTTTGCAACCTCAGACATACTTGTACATCTGAAGAAAAGCTATAAAATCAGATTATTATCGTTAAAAACCTATAACAGCAAGGTACATTTATTTCCTACGAATGCAAGTTTTAAATATTTAGACACACCTTGGCACCTTCTCCTTTTCTAATCTTTAGAACTTTACTATAAGAGTCATAGTTTTTGAAAGTGAATGTTAAAGTACTATATCCCATAACAAGTGGCGTGGCAGCAAAAGAAAAAATGCCAGGATCATCGAGTTGAATTAAATAATTCAAACAATCAGGTGCATGAAGTAATGTGTTTAACACCATATCGGAAAGACAATTTAAAGCTTTTTGCTTGTTTTCAATAAGTTTTAAATCTTCAATTTCTGAAACATATTGACCCCAAATTTCTTTTGGCCAGAATTTTCGATTTTCATTTAGATCTTCCACAAAATCTCGAAGTATATTCAGTTTTTGTAGAAAAATTCCCATTGAGATTATGCTAAATTAACAAATTAATATCTACAGAAAGTAAAAAAAAAGAAATTATACTAAACATTATATGTAAACTTACGTATCAAAATTTTTTGTTGTATCAGGAATTGTTGCACCAACAGAGTTAAACAAATCACTTATACCAATTCCGACGAGTCCAGCAACATAATAACAGTATTTATCAAAATCTTTTAATGTGATTACGCTGTATTTATCACGAGTTGAAATCGATACAAAATCTGCCATGCCATTACCCATTTGTTTAGTAACATTTATAATGATTTCCTGACACCTGAAGAGAACATATCAAGAAGCTCAAGGTAATTATATATATAGTAATAAAGAATAAAGCATAAACATACTCATTTGGAAGAAGTAAGAATTCTTCAATAACGACATCAAATTCTACAAGCAATTGCCTATCTTTTTCATCGGGTCCATCTAAGTGATAAATAAATAAATAATTACCATCAGATATACCAAATAAAAATGAATAAATAAATAACTTACTTTCAGTGAATGTCCAACCTCTCTGACCGATCTTTTTATAAAAAGATCTTAACATCGGTACTTTTTTGTTAATGGGTAAAGTCATGTCATCCTCTATCGTATCCATTCCACGTAAACATAAATAAAATATACAAACCTGTAACGAAATTCAAAATATAAATACTTTAATTTAAGCTCCTAGTAGTGGTCCTTGAAACTTACAAGATCACGAAGTTTTGGATCTAAATCCATAATAATATCTGCGAATGAACCTGATGTCAATTTTAAAAAATAGTAACATCGTTGCTTTGTCTTACTCCAAGTGGAAATATCTACCATCGTTGATTGTCTGAAAAGATAATATCTTACTAAAGCAACCATTTCTGAAGGATAAGGAAGCGATTCAACAAAATTCGATAACATTTTTTTCTTTCTACTATTAGGAAAGTGTTTTTGATAGCGAGCGAGTGAATGAATGAATGAGTGGATGAATACGAAGGGAAAGAGGATTAAATTGATTTGTCTCGGCGTACGTACGTACTTATTTTTGGACCTTTTTTGATTGTCACATTAAAATAATTAAACTTCTATTTTTGGAAGTAATGATGGCATTATTTTTATTGAGTAACAAACAAACGAAAATCAACGTTAATAAAAGATGTACTATAAGTAGGGTTGGAGGCACGGAGGTTGGAGGCATGCCCAGGAGCATAGCAGAAGTTCATTTTGATTGGTTGTTAAAATACCCCGGAAAAAATGTCGATCATACCCCGGATAGAGTATT